TGATCTACTTTGTATCATAGAACCTAAAGTTAATGTCCAAAAGTATCTTAAGCGCAAATCTTAAAACCTCGCATAACGTGCAGTGTAGAATATTTATCTAAAATATATGAAATCATGCATACAAACAATGGCAATTAGGCATCTATAGGAAACCCACATTTTCAGACGCAGTAATGCATAAAACATAAAAAATCCTATAACATAATCAAAACACCATACCCCCTATCAATGTACCCCAACCCACCACAAGTAATAAATTATGATCCAGATTTACATTCTTTGGCACTAATATTAGAACACTTACCAAAATATTAAAAAATACGAATGTCAAAGTGGCCTACAAGGTCAATAATACCATAAAGTATCGATGCAATTTAAGAAGATAACATAATAAATGAAATAACAGTTCTGTATATCAGGTAAAATGCGGTAGATGCGAGTTGGTCTATAATGGCCAAACCGTTGGGGTATTTAAAACCAGATTTAAAAAGCATGCCAACGAAATTAGATTCAACTTAACATAATCAAAATACGCCCAATACATCCTCGACCACGGACACGAATACGGCCCCATGGACGTATTAAGTATGGTCTCAAAAGGCAAAATGCTTGACATTTTATAAACGTTCTACATCTATAAAACTATAAAAAAAGGTAAACATCATAAATGAACAGAACACCCACGACTCCAGTGTGTTATTTGACCTGGTAGTAAACAGAAACAAAGTAAAATTTCGTATGTAATAGATGGCCACACTGGTTGGTCAGAATTATTATAAACGCCGCACACTTTTTAAAACCGACAGTAATAACCACGCAACGTTGAAGTTCACAGATACAGACAACGCAACCACGGCTCACCGTAGACCAACAACGGCTACCTCAACTTAGGCCAGTGGACATTAAGCTAAGTAACTCAATATAGATAATACACCAACTCTTGTGCAAGTAAACATGAAGAATGGTTTTATAAAGTGTGACCTTCTTAGGCTCAGAGCTTTGTAACAAGCCATCGTCTTATGAATTGTATGATTTAATATACAGACGTAATAAATTAAAATTTTTCCACTGATGATGACCTCTTGAGGTCGAAACGCGTTTGGCACTAGGTGTTTTTCAAAATGTAAACAGTTTTGTTAGTATGCATGATTTTATATATTTAAGAGCAAAATTTTCCTCAACCTCACAGATTTTACCACGGGCCTTTCTTTACTTTTCATTATTGTGTCATAACTACCACTTCATACAAAGGAGATATTTATTGGTAAGCTTCGAAGAAAACCCACGCATTCTCAGTAATTAATTAAATTTTATACTGAACTTTTTGTCACAAAGTTTAACATATTCCACTGTCCTGCGGCTTGTAATGTGTGCCTTAATACTTTAAGAATATTTTATCTTTCATTATTAGCAAATGTTTCTCTTAAAATTATTGTTCATAATAGGAAATTTGTAGGGTTTGAGTTTCTAATGGCAGGTGGATTCTTACACAGTGGGGAATTTTGGTTGTGAAAGTACAAAATAGATGTAAATGGAATTTAATTGTAACTGGCTATTCTTTGTAGAGTTTGGTAACAAATCAATTATCGCAATTCACTGTTATACAAAATTTAATCTCAATTAACTTAATCCGAATTAACATGTTCTATTTTCTGGGAATTTGACATTACACTGTAATGTGACTTTATAAATTAATATGTGTGTGTAATTAAAATTATTTCATTAAAATAAATTTCCTCCTTGTGTAAATTCATCCTGTTATATTCCTATTTTATCAGGCTTAATTAAAAATTACAAACTCTGCAATATTTCCTTTTAGGGACATATTTTTCTTTGTATCTTAACTACAAAGAGTTTATATTTTGGAATCGCTAACGTACTAAGATTTGGAATTGTAATAAACAAAACTTTAATTTATACAAGGAGCAGTCCATAACTCATTGTAAGATCCTAACGCTGAGCACGCTTCACGCCTAGATATTACTTGATTATGTTCTAAAGAATTTTTTGCCCAAATTAATGCATTAACACTGAGATGGTTATCAAATTCAGAGAAAACTTGAATGACTGTTGATCAAGACTGAAAAGGTACATAGATACTTGCCATTTATAAACAGAAGAGTGTTTGTGTGGACGTCTCCTTTATGCTTGATTCAACTAGTCATAATTTTAAAGAGTTAAGTGGCAACTCCATGGTGGAACTCGTGGTGGTGGCCAAAGACAACTCCAGAGAAAGCCATTGGTCACTGATGATGTTTCACAGCTACTGTTCCGTTGGTGGCCGCAGTAGCTCCGTGGTGATTCTGACTTGCAACCACATGATGTTGTGTATGGTGACTTCCATGGTGATGCTGACTACTCGAGTGATGGTTCTGGTTGTTGGCGTTGCTGTTGTTGTTGTTGTTGTTTTGCTGCTGCGCTGCTTGGCGCTGACTGTTCTTCTTGTTTTTCATCCTACGATTCTGAAACCAGATCTTCACTTGTCGCTCCGTCAGACTTAAATTACGCGCGAGTTCCCACCGTTTTTGTTTGGACACGTAAGCGTTGAACAGGAATTCTTTCTCCAGTTCTAAAGTCTGGAATTTGGAATAAGGTTTGCGTTTCTTCCGGACCGTCACTTGACCAGTCCATTCCAGAGGGTTGGTTCCGGCGCCACAACCGACGCCGACCCCCATCCCGACGCCGGCCAGGGAACCTGCCGGGAAGAAAGAAGATGGGGAGGAACCCCACATCACTTGACACCATTAGACAGTCGCCGGTGGCCAAGAGACAAACGTATCGACAGTCACAGTTTTCATGAGAAAGTGAGGACGCTGAAAGGTGTAAATCCCTTTCATTGTACCCACTTGAAGTATCAGGGAAATTAAATGGGAAGCTAAGGATTAACTACAACACTCATAATATTTCTTTAACAAATAACAGCACAAATTATATTTCTGAACGTTTAGAAAACTCTTTTGGAAGCAAAATATGTAAGTCTCTAAAATTTGTAGAATTGAGAACTCAGAGAGATCAATTTTATTTAATTTCAACACAGCCTGAATTTCATTTAATTAATCACAAAGTTTAAACATTTATAAGTGCGTGGCCGTGGAACAGAAAATTGAATATTTAACAACATGTACTGTCTCTCAGAATTAAATTAATAACGAACATTTTAATATTAGTTACTCGTTATCATCAACTTTCCCAGGAAGAAATATTATCATTACGTCAGGCTAAGCGATTTTAAAATCTTGCGTTCTCTATCAATAATGTTATACTACACCTTTTAATTTTAATTTCCAGGATAATGATCCGAGAGTTAAGGAACACTGCGTTTTTTTCAATTTCAATAATAAATGCAGTGATACATCATATGATAGGCATGCAGATAAGTAAGTACTTGGTTGTTATATGCTAAAAATTATATACAGACATGAAGAAATTAAAGGATAACAAAAACTATAACTGCTTTATTTAAAATTATACAGTAAAGAAACGAGACTTTCAGATAAAATACGAATTTTAGTACCGAGTTAAAAGTACGTCCTATGCACGGCTTCAGAAAACACGATTGGATTAATAACAGCGCCTAATTATGAATATTATTTTCTTTGCAAGTTTATATATGTCACATAACAGATCCCTGATCTTAACCAACAAAAATGTATTAACAATTAATGTATATATATATATATATATAATGTTTCTAAAATAGTAATATATTACATTCTTACATTTTATTCAATATAAATAAAAACAAAATTTGGTATGTACATTAACACATGCCTTAGCCATTTAGTGAGTACTTATGTACTATTATGAGAGTAATCTCTTATACATGTAAAATAAAGTGTGATATCAGAAGGAGAAATTATGACGAAGACTTTGAACAGAAAGAAGTAGGTACTAAAAGGTAAGTATACAACATGCGGTAGCATATTTCAAAGGCAACCAGCAGAGGTCGGCAGCAGTCAACATTCTCATCACGACTTTAATATATAAAAATTATAGACATCAAAGACTGAGCCGACCCGCGAAACGTGTACGTGGGTGGTACACAATACTGACAGCTTTGATATCCTTATTTCTCATCCGAGACAACTGTCATGTGCCAGCTATAAAACACGTGGTTAGTTCCGACAACGGGCATGGTTCCACACAGAGAGAATTTATAAGATACAGTGTCTACTGTGTCAGAAAAGTTTGGATAACGATCTATGATTCTAGATTGAGCATCAGAGTGGCTAATCTGGATTGTATGTGGAAAGATTAATCCGAATTTGGCGACAGGTAGGGATAGCGAGATAGGAATCACCTGATAATAGAAATAGCAGAAGGCTTTAAATAATATTAAAACGCTGCTGTAACTTAATGATAGTCATTTTGTGTTATTGCCCGATATTCGTAAAAGCAAAGCGTCTAGATTTTCCAAATTCGTCTAATTTTTACATTTTTAGGACGTGATTTAGAATTGTCAATAATGGTCTTGTCATCTTCAGAGGTATCCTTCAAAATATTTAGATACAAATTTATTAAATTCATAGCTAAATTGTTTAAACGACATCCGGATTTATTATAACGGGTCTGGAACAGCGACAGTTTTATTTCGAAAAGTATTAATTACTAATTTTGCCTCACGGATAAAGTTGAAAGTTGCAGGATATGAGAGTTTTTTGGCCGTGAGTTTGAAGATGGTTGTCTTCTGGGTTGTTGCGCCGTGTAGTCTGGTATAAGTTTATCGACGTTTCAGAGGTCCTTAATGCCTTCATCATGAGGGCTATTATGGAGGCAGCAAGAACTTCTGAAACGTCTGTAAACTTCTACCAGACTACAGGGCGCAGCAATCCAATAGGCAGCCATCTTCAAGCTGAAAGTTTGTGACGATGCAAAATTCAAGGAAACACAGGCCCGTAGTTATGTTCATGAAGCCGAAGAACGCGTGGGAAGGCCTTCTGAGAAGGCATAAGGTGGGCGTTAGCACAATTTTATTTCATGTACTGAACTACGTCTAACATATAGGACCTGCTCAATAATAGCAAAAATTTTCTATCAAACGACTCTTCTATCACAATTTTATTTAAACAATACATAATAGGAAGGATGGTAATATCAAATGTAATCAAACATCTATTCATCCACTCACTTAGTAATAGTCAGACAAGCATAACTAATTTTTAACTCCATGGATAAAAGTCTATTTTGTGAAGCTAACAGTCTCTCAGCCTGTCAAGGCATTCTCCTCAGGAAGGTGCATTAATTTGTTCCTCTAGTTCCCAATCTGAGCCAGATAAATCCATTCTACTCTTTCATTCATTTAACATTAATTTTAACATAAACTTTCCATTTATACATGTATCTTCTAAGCCGCACATTATTTTCATATTTTTCAATTAAAATTTAGTACACACTTCTCATCTTACTCATGCGTGCTACCTGTCCCGCCCACGTAATTCTTCGCGAGTTTATCTTCCTAATAATATCTGACGAAGTTAACAAAATGTTAAATTCCTCGTCATGCAATTGTCTTCAGCCTCCTGCTACTTCCTTCCTCTTAGGTCTGGGTAGTTAAAAGAACTATGTAATTTGAATCAACGCCTCTTTGCGATACTCTCCTATCTCCTCACGAAAGACCATAATTAAACTGTTAGTGTACAAAAGAAAGAGAGAATCGTTTCAGTTACTGCAATTACAGCAACAGTGACAAAAGTGTGGCGTCTCGTATAACATCAGAAGGCGACATCCGAGCAGCCACCAACCAATTGACAAGAAGGGCTCGATCCGGACTCCAAGAAAATGAGCGTCATATTTAGCATAGCTTCTGATAAAAATTGTTTGGATTACGAACAAAATATATATTTTTAACATTCAGAACTGAAAATATGTTTCTATGCAAAGAATGAGCCGAACAGTGCCAGCCTTGCTGTGAAAATACTTTGGTTAAATTTGCATAACTTATACGAGTTTCAAGATGACTGTCTTCTGAGATATTAAGCCGTATAGAGTAATATAAGTTTACGGACGTTACAGTGGTTGTTGCTGCCTCCATCATCAGGGCAATAAGTTTTATTATAATAAACAGAGACATTCTTTCCTACATGTTTTTGAAAACGTCATTTTTCGCAACACCCGGCAAAAAAATCTAACCTCCACCTCAATGGACCATTAATGTGACCGAAACGTTTAATTGTTCCTACAGACCCACTGTATTTTTGTGCAACAAACAAATGGCAATGAAGTTCAAATCATAATTACTCAAAAGCTATGTTAATACTTTTAATGAATGTGATAGCATTGTCAGAATAAACACTGAATGGTTGAAACATGTTCATATTTCCAACAGGAATCAGGAATTTCGTAGGAGACTGTACCCTGTAAAACACGTGTAGCAATGTAAGTTATTCGATAAGACTGTGCGTTTTATGGATGCTATAACTCATGGCGACGCCTCATTTTGGCACTGGCAGACGTCAAGGCGTCCGTCACGATCACTACAGACATGCTTGTCTTTAATATTTTAAAGGGAATGCGCTCTGAGTTCCTTTATAAATCATTAACTGATAAACAAGTTGGGATTTCTGTCATGTTGAAAGACACAGGCGAAGATACGACTGTACATAAACACATTCCTTCGCGCCCTAATTTACGTAAGTTACAAAGAAAGCATTTTTCTTTTCCTTGCCCTTGATTTCCAGGTTTATTGTTAGAGTTATTATTATTTATTTTTACACCACATTTTACACATGGTGTCTGTCCATTGGCCTGGATCAAATCTCTCCCCCGAGGCATATTATTACTATTCTCTGTTATTATATTGTTATGTTATTTCATCTTCTTTGATTGTTTTTATCCTGGCTCTGCGTATTTGAAAAAGTTAACAGTTCTATTTCTGCTTCATATAATGTAGCTATGCGTTACACTGAATTGGTGCGGACTACAATGAAATACGTACAATAAGTCTTAATGTAAATTATCCAAACCAAGTGGGATTTGAGGTTCTCACGGCGGTGAATACGAAGATGGCTGTATTTTGGGTTGCAGTTCTGCCAGACTGCACGACACTACAAGCCACAAAACAGCAATCTTCATTTATAAAAACCAAATGTCATCAAAACCTTTTAATGAATCTGGGGTATTCAGCAGAGTTTCCAAACGTGCCATTTAAACTGTTTGAATACACTTTTGAGACTAGGGTAACAATTATAACAATACTACTAATAAATAATAATATTAAAACGGGCTTCAAAGAAATAGAATGTGAGGGTGTGTATTAAATTCATTGGACTTAGGACCCAGGGGCGGGCTCTTTTTTTGGAACACTTGGAGAATATTCACGTTCTATGAAGGAAGGATAATTAGTCAATGAAATGCTTATTTTGTGCACATATAAGTTTCTTATGTGATAAGGCGCTGTGTGAGAACATTACCTTCTATTTGAAGTTCACATAAATAAGAGATTAAACTGGAACAATATGAGGTCAAGTTAATTCTCCTCATAAAATTTTGACATCCGAACACTAAATATCATCGAGATCTGCTCGTAATTCCGGAGATGAAACACATAGACGGACGGAGAGACACGACCTTTTGACACGCCTTCTTTTTCTGTATTTCTTGTAAATGATATACAAAATCCTCCATCTCTAAATTTAGGAGTATGCTTGCAAATCAGGTTGTAATATTTTATCGTGATCGTCGACAGATGTTTGCTCC